CATTCATCAATCAATGACATTATTGACTGCAATTACTGAGTTATCCCAATAAGGCCTAGGAAGCCTCTTCTTTCTAGAGAGCTGCAACTCAGCCATCATCCAATTTATTTATTCACTCCAGCCAAAGGAAATGGCTCATTTCAGATGTGATCCCAAGCTGCTTAAGGTACGGATTTAATTACCCCGTTCCACTCGAGAACTTACACCAAGTTGAGATCCAGTACTTACAACAACTTTTTTAATTAAATCAGCAAGGTCTTCCAAAAAATTACACTCACAGATTGTCTTCCACAGATGCCATTCCTGAAACATCAAACTGTTTAAAAGCACAAGTTATTTCTCGTATAAAAACACAATGAATTTTTTTATTTAGAGAAGTAACGCTGTGGTGCTTGGTCCTAATTGCTAATAGTTAATTAGCATCTTTTTAGCATCCTACCAATTATTAATTCATTGTAGAGCACATAAATATTGTATTAATATAATATACAATTAATCTCTATATAATATTTATTAATATAATACACCGGTTGTTTTAATATAATTATATTAATAATTAAGTTATTGTAATAATTAAAATCACAGTAATTAAAATTAAAATTATAGTAATTATAATTAAAATTAGAACGTGGTCCCTCACCCAAATTGCCCTTGGAAAGAAGTGCTTTGTTGGGTGAAGAGGAGAGGCCAAAGCATTTGGATTTTAATCACGTTGCAATATTCCCTCAATCTCTCCACAGGCTGATTGCACCAAACTTCACAGGGATCAACACCTGCAGGAGAACAGGTGGGGAGTCAGACAGGCATTGCAGGGGCAAGAAACAACTCAAAATTCAAAATGTCATAAACCTCCCCAACAATCATCTCCAGACTTTTATTCCTGAGTCCAAACCAACCCGAACAAGGAGCCCAGAGCTCCAAAAATCAGGAATATTCTGTTTGGCCTCAGAGGCCTTTATGTGCAGGGCTCTTTCAATATTTCAAAAATATAACCCATTTCCCTCAGAGGCTGCCTTGAAATTAAAAGGTAAATTAAACTATTGGGGTGGCAGCCGGCGCTCTGAGGTAAATTAAAAGGTAAATCAGATGACTGAGGTGGCATCAGGTGCTCTCAGAGCAGGAGCAGCATCGTCTGGGGGGGGCTGAATATATGGAAAAATTCATTTTCCACAGCTGGCTGTGCCTCCTGCATGTTCCAGGTTGTCATTTGAGGAATACAGGCAATGAATTCTACTTATTCAGGCAAAATAAGGACAAAAAAAAAAAAATCAAAAAGGAATCAAAACCAGCACACAAAAGTGAATTAAAAATGTAAGAAAATTGGTTTAGTTCACATACCTGTTTTAGGATTAGGCAGCACTGTCTGACCAAATGTTCCATGACCCTAAAGATAAACATATTTTTCTTAACATGACACAGCCAAAAAAGCAAATAAAGCAAAGCAAACCAAACAGGGAACAAAAAGCATGTTTGCTGCAGTTACCTAACACAAAAAAAAAATGTTTACCTGCATATCCATTAAAACAATGTCCACAGGTTAATAGTTATGAATGGACAGGAAAACCTTTATTCATTTAAACAATATTTTAAGTCACACTAGAACAGTGTTCTAGAAATTAGTAAGTCAAAACCAGGGACTAGGCAGCAAAATAATGCTCAGGAATACCTGACTGCACATGATTAAGAAGACAACACAGCTTTTCAAAAAAATAATAATTAATTTTTGACAGTGTGTGCATATTTATATAAATTCCTTCATATCAAAATAAGTGGAATAGTTGATTCAGTGCCTCAGGGCAGCAGAATCTATCAGTACTTCAATGGGTTTAAACTTATGAACCTCTTAAGCTGAAAAATAAATTACTTTGTTCTGGTTTACAGATCCCTACCAAGTCTCTTTATTTTAAGAAGTTTTTTTATGTGTCATTTAAAAATATAAATTATAAAATCGACATATTTGACAGGTCGGGACACTCAGCAAGAAAAGAGGAAAGGAGATGAACTCTGCTTGCAGCTCCACAGCTCCTTCCCCGCAGGGAGGAGATGATGCTGTGACATCTGAAAACCAAACCAAAACCAAAACCAAACCAAACCACTTCCCCCTCCCTGTCCATGGAGATCCTGGGGGTGCTCCCACCCAGGCAAACCTGGAAACCAACTTTTAGCACTTGCAGAGAACCAAGGGCTTTCACAAGATATTTAAAAATTAAAAAAAAAAAAAAATCTCATCTTCTGCTGACACAAAAAAAAAGCCCTTGAATTTGGCAGCAGCACACGCCCCAAACATCCTTCCTTGATATAAACACATTCCAGTGGGAATCATCACTCTGGTGGGACCAGCTCCTTCTGAAGGCACAGCTTTACAAATAAATTCAATTTACCCAAATTTCTGTGGTTAAATAAGTACAAGCCTTACTGGGCATGAAGAAACAGATGCAATCAAAGAAGGGGCCAACTCTGCAGCCAGGGCAGAGTTAAACTCCCACGAACCAAGGGGTGATTCCCTTGCAATGAAAGGAAGGGAATCTGTCAGGCATCAGCCCAGGGATGGTCTGGGGGCAGAGCCAACAGGTTGGGCGAGTTCTGCTGGCAGGATCTACACATCACTGCCTGCTGTGACAGCTGTACACACACAGAGCCACCCAAACCTGCCTGACAGAGGACAAAGAGACTCTGTTCTCCCCCAGCTCGGTGCTTCTGTGAGTGAATAATGCACATGGCAGAAGTTACTTTTGCCTCAGTTTCAATTAAACAACACTAGGAAGTGCTCTGTAGATCAGATAATAAAATCACAGAACGATTTGGGTTGGAAGGGACCTTAAAGATGATCCAGTGCCACCCCCTGCCATGGGCAGGGACACCTTCCACCAGCCCAGGGTGCTCCAAGCCCCGTCCAGCCTGGCCTTGGACACTTCCAGGGATCCAGGGGCAGCCACAGCTTCTCTGGGCAACCTGTGCCAGGGTTTAAACTCCCCTGGAACATCCTGCAAGTTCTCCACCCAGTTTCAAACCCACTCACCAGTTCCAGGTAAGGTGTATCCACACGGTACAGAGCCAGGGTTGCCAGGTCGGGTATGGACCAGGGATCAGCCATGGCACAGCACCCTGGAAGAGAAGGATGGTGAGGAACACACGAGGGGAAGGCAAGAGGAAAACAACCCGTGCTTCGCGGCACTTCACATGATCACAACGAATCACGCTTTGCCGGGGTTTTTCGTGAAAGAAACGCGGGTGTTCCACAGCACAGGTTAATGCTGAAAACAGCCACCTAAAGCCCCAGCTAAGAGCTTGTTATGTCAGGTAACTCGGGTAACTCTGTGTTCTACCCCTCCAGCAGGACCCCAGGCAGGGCGCAGGGTCAGCAGCATCCCCGGAATCGCCGCCGCATCCCGGGATGCCGAACACGCCGGGACAGCCCCGGCCCCGCCCCGCCCGTCACCAGCCCTCCGCCGGCCGCTGACGTGTCTCCCCCCGCCGGCACCACCCTGCCCGGAGCTCCAAGGGACTCCAAGGCAGCGGACCTGGGAAAGGTTCCGCTGCGGATGCCGGTGCGGCGCTGCGAGCCCCGGGCGGGCCGGGGGACAGCGGGCTGCGAGTGCCGGGCGGGGCGGGGCGAGCGCGTACCGCTCCCTCCACCCCTCGTACGGCCCCGTCCATGCCCGTATCCCCCCGTCCATCCCCGTATCCCCGCATCCCATCCCATCCCATCCCATCCCATCCCATCCCATCCCATTCCTCACCGCTCCGCTTCGGCCCCCCGCGCTCCCCGGACGCGCCTTCCGCCTCCGCCCCGCCCCGCCCCCCCGCGCGCGCCCCCCCCGCCTCCCCCCGCCGGACGCGCCGCCCATTGGCCCGCCGCCCCCGTGACGTCACGGGGCCGCCAGCCAACCGGCGGGCCGTGCGCCTGCGCGCGCGCGCGCGCGCGCACGGAGGCGCGGAAGGTGCGGGGGGGTGGAAGGGATGGGATTGGATGGGAATGGGATTGGATGGGAATGGGATGGGATTTTCCATCATCATCCATCCTCTGCTTCACCTTCTCTTCTCCTCCTCCTCCTGCCGCCCTCGGGGCCGTTTTCCCTCCCTGGACACGCTCCGGAGAGGAAGGAGGCGCAGCCGGGCGGGGGGAGCTGCGGGCGGGCGGTGCGTGGGGAGGAAGGAAGGAAGGAAGGAGGAGGGAGGGAGGGAAGAAGGAAGGAAGGGAAGGGAGAAGGGAAGGAGAGAGGGAGTATCCCCTTCACCCGGGGCTCAGGGAGTATCCCGTTAATCCGGGGTTCAGGAGAGAGTATTCCCCCCCACCCGTGGGCGTGGGTACCTGGGCGCGCCCCCTCATTCCCAGAGGAACTTCCCGGGAAACCTCTTGAGCAGCTTCCTAACCCCGCTCTCCGCCCTCGCCGCGAAGGTAAAAGGGAGGACACCGGGATGGTCGAGAACTCGCCGGCCCCGCTGCCAGAAAGGGCGATCTATGGATTTGCCCTTTTTCTAGGATCGTGGTTTGGCTTCAGTGAGTATCCCGGGAACCGAGACACCCGAGAAGGGTGCTTTGCTTAGGAGGCAAACGTTATTCCCGACTGGAACGCCTTTCCCAGAGAAGCTGTGGCTGCCCCTGGATCCCTGGAAGTGTCCCAGGCCAGGTTGGACGGGGCTTGGAGCAGCCTGGGCTGGTGGAAGGTGTCCCTGCCCATGGCAGGGGGTGGCACTGGATCATCTTCAGGGTCCCTTCCAACCCAAACCATTCCATAATTCTGTAAGACCACCTGAAAAGGATCAAACTTGTGTTCCAGCCCCTGTTGGGAGGGTGATGGAGCACTGAGTGCCAGACCTGTCAGGTGTAACAAAGATCTGTCGTTGCCTTTCGTGATTTCCTCAGGTTTTATCTGTCTTTAACCACATTACAGGATCTTTAATGGCATTAGAGAGTCAAATTATTTGAAAAATGCCCTGCATTCTCAGTAACTACTTGAATACATTTTCACTATACAGTAAACACTGGAGATAGTAGTAGTGTTGTTACCCACTGGAATAAAATAGAATTAAAATTAAAAAAAAAAAAAAATAAGAAAAATAAATAAGAAAAATACTGGGGGAAAAAAAAAAGTTGATTTAGTCAACAGCACTGGGAATTAATTTGAGTTATGCCAGCATTTCTCTGCTGCTGTTGACAGGTTCTTTAGCATTTCACTGGGCATGTCTCAGGTGCCAACACAGGCCCAGGGTTTTTGTGAAGCTGAGAGCACTTCCTCAGCACAAGAAAAGGTGTTGCAAATACCCTGTAGGCAAATAATGAAACCTGAAATAACCAAATGCTGCTCCAAGTCTTTCCTGGCTCCGAGGCAGCAGCTGGAAAGGGAAGTGAGTTGGTTTCTGTTCCTCTCACAGGAAGTTTTCTGCTTTATTTTCATCTCCATTCAGATCCTTCTGGCCTCCTTTCACTGAGGTTTTGGCTTTGTTGGGTTGGGTTTTTTTGTGTTCTGCAGCTCAGCTCAGAATAAATTCTCATCTTGTCTCCGCGAGGAAATCAGCAATTAAATGTGAAAGCAAATATAAAAATGATCCCAAATAACCCAGCTGCAAAACCTGGGCAGGTTTGGTGTCTGTGTTTTGTTATGCAGTGTTTTTGGTGAAACTTATGAAGTCTAAAACCAGCATCAGTCTAAACTATTTTAATTCCCTTGTGCAGTTTTATATCTCATCTGGGCATATATTCCTGAGTCTTGGCTCTTCTCCTTGGGATTGACATACTGGCCTCAAAAGTAAGTTCTTAACCTGAATATGGGACATCCTTAATTATTTTAAAATTAAAAAGCCTTTTTTTTTTTTTTAAATAGCAGCCTTGTGTTGAATCAATTTTTTTCCCCTCATGATAAGGGCCTGTAATTTTTGTAAAGCATTTTTTTTTATGTAGGTAACAGGTGTGGTGAAAGCTTTTCGTTGTGTAGTGAAATAAGTAACATTTGCATTTTTTATGACAAATTTGATGTTTTGTTTTCGGGAAATTTGCTGACGAAAATATAGTACATTTATTGTCACGGTATGTTAAATTTTGAAATCTCTCCCCTCAGGTACTGGGCAGTTGCTTTGCCAGTTTACCTCCTGGTTGCTGTAGGAATTGGTTATATTTTGCTTTTTGGGATTAACATGATGAGCACAGCTCCACTCAACTCCACACACACCATCACAGGTAACTTTAGTGGGGTTTTATTTAAGATTTTTGATGTTTAGCTGGTGGTTTCTGTAAATCTGTATATGTCACCCTATAGAATATAAACCAAATTTTAAGCCTTTGAGCTCTTGGAAGTACTGAAGTGTTGGGAGTGAAAGAATTAAAAAAAGTAGCTCAATTTACACAGTGTTCCATCATAGAGCATCTCTTTTCTTTCAAGAGCTTCGGATATCTGAAATGTTCTCCAAAATGTTGATTTTTGCAGATAACTACGCGAAAAAGCAGCAGCAGAAGAAGTTTCAGGAGGAAGCAATTCCAGCCCTGAGGGATATTCCCATCAGTGAAGTGAACAGAAGGTTTTTCCTCCCTGAGAAAGGAATCTGCGACAGCAGATAGTCATTACTGAGGTTTGTTTGAGCAAAGGATTAGTGGAAATGTTGCCCAAGGACAGTCAAAACCTCTCCAAGCTAACAAAAAAAAAAAACTCTTTCAGCTTGTAGAGCAAAGATTTTATGTTGTTTTTTTTCTTTTTTCCCCCTAACTAAATTTATATTAACACATTTTATTAATTTATTTACCTTCACAACCTGCCTTGGTACGAGAATTACACCAGAATAATTTATCAAGCCGTTTTTTGGAGCTTAAAATGTCCTGTTACTTGTCTTTTCCCTCTGAGAGGGAAAGAAACAGCTTTTTTTGGCCCTAGTTTCATTCTGTTTGCCTTTTGGGCGTAGTTTAATTTTATTTCCCCTTAAATTCGGGGAGGAAAAAAAAGCTTTTGCTGGTCAAACGTCGAGGATCTATTTTTTATTAAATTAATTGGAACTGTTTACATTGTAAATAGAAAGCTTTCCTTTGTAAATATTAATAAAGTGTAGCTCATTTTTACGTGTTTGAGCTCGCAATTTTCTCTGTGGTTCTGTGTTAATTCTCCTGGGTAAAGGTCCATTTCCCTTCACACAATTCAGCAAAATATATTGATCCCCCTCCCAAAATTGGCAGGATTATTGAATTACCAGGAACACCGGAAATAAGAAAGTTGGGTTGTGAAGATTTTCTGAAACAAGTCTTGGAAGTTAATTTCTTTTTTTTTTTTTTTTAAGCATTTTTAAAAATACTGAAAACCTGGTTCAAGGAAATATCTGGAAATACAGGAACTGGCAGGTCCATCCTATTTTAGCCCAAGGTTATAGCACAAAGCACAGTAAGTTGTTGGTAGGGGAGTGGTTCAGATGTTTCCTAAACAGTGCATTTTCCTTTATTTTTTATTCCTTTAGAGAGCCACAAATCCAATTATTTTCAGGACTCAGGGTTATTTAGATTGATTATAAAGACCAGAGAATAGGCTATTATTGTTTATTAGGCTTTGTAAGGTTTATCAGCCAACTTCAGAGCAGAGAGAATTTAGTTAAGGACTTGACTGTTTCATTAAAAGGTAAGAAATTTTTGAAAGTTTGTGTGGAAAAATCTTATGCCAGTTCTTTAGAAATCAGGCAAAACGACCATCAGTTGATGGTCTGGAAAGTCTCAAGACCTGCTAACAATTGATTTGGGTATAAATATAAATATAAAACCTGTAGATGGTTGGGTTTTCTACCTGCTTTTGAAGGAAAAAACCTCCATGTTCAGTAGTATGGGTAGGAGAAAAATACCTCCTTAATGAAGGAAAAGGTGCTTTTTCAACCTTTTGCTCTGAAATGAATTGGTTATCTGATATATTGTGGTTGGGGGGAACTCCTCAAGAATATTTGTAGCTCAGCCTGGTGGCTGCAAATCTGTGCGGGGTCGATTTGTTTGGGAGTTGTGGACTTCTCAGCGAAGTTTTGGGTTTAGTTTGCTGTTGTTTCCCACTCCTGCCACGATTTTGCCCTTTAATTAAATGAATTGAATTTCAGTTTGCACGCTCAGGCACCCGTAGGTAGAACGAATTCAAGATTTTACGATCGGCGGCCGCGAAGGCGTATTTGCTCTTTTTGTCACCCCTCTGCTCACATCATGGACATTGAAGTATTGACTGTAATTTTTTTTTTTTTTTTTAATGTGTTCCACCTTCCTTTTGCTCTGTGAGAGAGCAATTTCCTTCGGAATCCCGGGTTGACACCAACTGAAGGGCCACGTTCCCGGTGTCGTCTGATGGGGGGATTAATTCGGTCCCTGGTGAAGGAGGCCCAAATCCCTTCAGGGATCAGGCAGAGCCGCTGGAAAATGCCCTCAAAGCCCCGAAAGCACACAAATTAGAGGGCTGTAAACCTTGGGCAAAGATTGTGTCAGTGATGAATCTGCCATTTCATTTCACTGCAGAAAACCCCCCTCCATAATTATGGGAAAACCAACAGAGTGAGGAGGGAAAAGGGGGGGGGGGACGCTTTTGTTTAAGTAAAACTTGCAGGGGGCGAAACTCAATCTTCGCTTTTCTGTCACTGGTGCTTCAAAGGCACCACGAGTGACCTTCCCTTCAACTTTTGGGGGCGCTTGACACTTCAGGAATGGCCCCCTGGGGTCAAAATAAAACCAGGGAATGTGACGTTTTGTGGGGAATTGCGGGTGGTGGGGGATCTGCAAACTCTTGGCTAGGATGGTGATTAAGGAGAAGATGCAACTCTGCCAGCAAAGAGGAGAGGAGATTTTGTAAATGTGCAGCTATTTATGTAGATTTTGCCTTAGATATTCAGAATAAAAACAAAAACCTGGAGTGATTGAACAGTTTCGCTGGCAGGGCCTTTCTTTACAAAACATGCCTGTTCAAAGGCTGGATATCAGGTGTCCATCTATTCTTCTCCCACACAGAGGGAGAACTAAATAAATAAATAAAGGCACAAACCTAAATTTGCCCTTGTTTTCACCCCTCTGACCTCGCTGTTGTAGCACAACTAAATAAAGAGTTTATCGCAGCCTTGTCCCTGCTGGGATAAACCAAGGGATGAAACCTCAGCCTTGGTTTTAAATGCACTTTTTAGGATTCTCCTGCAGTTTTTTGCCCTGTTGGAGTCTGAGGGTATTTTACACATCTTGCTATAAACTTCATATGGTAGGACAGGGATTTGAATGGATGTGGATGGAAACACGTCCTGGGAAAATAGCCTGGATTCCAGTGGAATGGGGGGGGTGCCCTTGGAAATATGGGAGCTGGGGTGGCCAAATTTGTGTGAAGGTGGTGGAGTATCTACCTCCTTCCATCTTGGCTGGAAAGGGAAGGGGAGTAACAACATGGAGAGGGACTATTTCCAAGGGATTGGAGTGACAGGACACAGGGAATTGCTTCAAACTGCCAGAGGGCAGGGTTAGGTGGGATATTGGGAAGGAATTCCTGGCTGGGAGGGTGGGCAGGCCCTGGCACAGGTTGAATCCCAGAGAAGCTGTGGCTGCCCCTGGATCCCTGGAAGTGTCCAAGGCCAGGTTGGACGGGGCTTGGAACAACCTGGGATAGCAAAAAGTGTCCCTGCCCGTGGCAGGGGGTGGCACTGGATCATCTTCAAGGTCCCTTCCAACCCAAACCATTCCATGATTCTCCTCGAGTTATGCAGGTGGACTTTGGCTGTTACCTAAAGCATCATACAGACCATTCCAAAATTATTTTGAGCACACAAGGAACGCTGTCAGCTCGATTGGATCATCTTTAGAACAACCACCATTTGTGACTGGAGCTAAAAGGTGAGCAACATTCCAGTCTGGATTTTGTTGTGGCAAAGGTTGAGGTGTGAGTAGGGGCAATCAAAGGCTCTCACAGAAAATAGAAAGCTGTAATAATAAACGTTCATCCTGGTACACATCTGTGCTAGGTGATATAAATATTTATATATATATATATAATATTAAAAATGCAACATTACCACCAATGGTACTGGCACACCCTGACACTCCCCCCCTCCCCCCAATCTCTTTTCAGGAGTTCTTTTTTTTTTAAAAAAAAAAAAAAAATTCAAATACTTGATTTTATTACCAGGCAGTTTCTGTGTCATTCGTGAGTGCAAATAAATGATCGAGTGTTTCTGCCTTAAAAAACAGAAGAGCTGATGGGTGATTTTTGTGGAAATACATTTTGTCCCGCAGTGCACCTTGAGTCTGAGTCACTGAAATGCTCAGAGCAGAGTCTGCAGCTTTCAAACAGCTGAGGTGAATGGAGGGGTGGGGGTGGGGTTTGTATCTCTCTGTTCATGAATTGAACTGTTTCCCGAGGAGAAAGTTTCGGAAGGGTTTCGTTTTGTTCTGCCAGTTCCCCGCCGGGGAAGTTGCCAAAGTAAATCTTGGGGGGGGGTGCTCTGCAGTTCATGGATAAGCTGAGTTCTCAGCCCTCTGCTGAAAGCAGCTGATAGAATTACCCGGTCTGGAAATGGTGATTCTGTGGAGTGTCGTGAAATAGCAAGTGTTTCAGTGAATTGGATGGGGTTTTGCCATCTCTGGAGATCATTAAACTGTTTTTGGGAACGTTGCCTCTTCTCAGCTCTGCTGCTCTTGTCAGTCAGTGTGAATGTAGCTTGGAAAAGAAATTCCTGTGGCAGTTGTTTTTTTTTTCCCCTCTTAATCCAAATTATTGCTGCATTATAGTTAGAAGGAACAGTCAGCAAACTCATGTACCATGTGAGGATGTGCTTTCCTTGGATTTATGTGGCCTTGGATGTAGAATTCAGGACTGTCTCATGAACATAAACCCCAGGTATGATTTTTCACATGCATACATACAATGAAAATATTAAATTATCGTGTGGATGCCCCTCCAGCGTTCCTGTACCAGTGGAACATTAACTTGCCCTTTTCCTGCCATCATTTTAGGGAACGGGAATCAACAGGAGTGTTTTGCTGGAAAGGCTGCAGCTGTTGAATTCCCAAGGGCAACAATTTAATCTGTGAGATGCCCGTGTTTGAAGTTGCAAACTCGTGATAAACTCCTTATTTGGGGCTGCTTTGTTGTCTTTTTTCTGCCTGTAAGTGACGGATGGCCCGAAGGTCGCCGCGGACTTTGCGGATGGGGCAACAAATCGGAACTGGAAACTGGAAGTTCACGGCAGTTGAATCCCAAAGGTTGCTACATTAGTTCATTTTGGGGCTTCTCTCAATTACTGACAGGGCGGGAAGGGGTCAGAGAGCATTTTGCGCGCGTGTGATGCGTCATCACAGACCTGTAAAGTCATCGGAGATGACTTTACAGGTCTGTGATGACGCATCCCACGCGCACAAAATGGCTTTTCTGTTGCTTTTGGCTACAAACTGAACGATGAGGGCATCAATAATTTCAGGGTGTCTTGGGAGAGACCCTTAAAACGCCTGTGTTTTGTTTCCACGTGCCTGGAAGAGGAGATGTAAAAGCTGAGTTTTCACGTTGGATTTAAACTTGGGGGTTTGAATTCCATCTCGTTCTTGCCCTTCCCTGTATCACAATTTGCTGGCCCCCTGTGAAAATTTAATTAATAGGCCCTGTTTTTGGTCTGCAAGCAGAGATTTGAAAAGAAAACTCCTTCCTTTCAATGCAGTTC